CTATAGTGAAGATCACAAGATATACTACGGTAGCTATTATCATTTTCCCAGTATACTGCTATGAAGTTCTCTAACAATTCTCTGCATTATATTGACTAGCTTTGTTCTGTCTTGCTTTATTGTATTTTAATATCTTTAAAATAAAAAAGCGATAATATATACTTCTGAAAAAAATTAAACTTACACAAATTTTTTTAAAACCTACAAAGAAGAATCATGCATGAAAAAAGCAATCTTTTATCATGTGCTACTAGGCAACTCGAAGGCTGGAGTTCATGACATTGACTCATGCAAGTGTGTTTCACTGATCTGCATTGTGAAAACCTAAAAGGTCAGCAGTGGTGCTAGAAAGTCTTTACAAGCAGGGTGAAGGATCTGTGCCAGAAGGTTGAGGGTTCTGCACTGGAGCCAGGAAGTGATGCTCAAAATAAGGACCAGGGCCCCTCTGAAGTGAACTATGGCATTCTCAGGGACAAGATCCCAAGCTTCTCTGATGATAACAGTTGAGTTCATATCAGGGAAGCTAGCATAACAATCTCTTCTAAGAGAACCGAAAGCTCCAAAAGAACCAACAGCTTTGAACACCACCATTAGGAGAAGCCACAAAGTTACTCTTCCTTTCCACTTTTCCTCTTTGTGCTGGCAAGTCCTCAGATGGACCATCTATACTAAACAGCATGCTGATTCAGTGCAGCTGGTATTACAAATCGACTGCCAGTTACCAATCCACTACAGTAACCAAAGCAAAAACTGAAAAATAAGGAGATTCCGAACTTAGAATTTTTGTTCATTAATGGACACAATAGTAGAATAGAAGAAAATATATGCAAATACTATCTGATAGGGGTTAATATCAATATATGAAAAACTCTAAAAGTGTGCCTTAGTTACTTTTCTTTCATTGCTGAGACACAATTATTGATGCCCCAGATGAAGGAAGAAAAGGTTTGTTTAACTTACAGTTTTTGGAGGTTTCAGTGCATACTCAGCTGGCTCCAAGGCAGGCTGTGTTGGCTAAGGGGCAACCATTCTCAGCAGCCATAAGCAACAATAGCAAAAAGGGCAAAAGGGATAAAAGCACAACTCCTTCCCTCCCTTATGTTGCATGCTGGTTTGCTGTCCAAAGACAGGCACAACACTCAGACCACCAATCCCAGTACTAGACAATGAGCCAATCACAAATGCTAGATTCAGCCACCTCCATGACTGCATGAGGCTTGGGGCGCCATCCAAACATAAACCATAACATTCCACACCGGAATCCCCAAAGACTTATAAACATTCTTTATGAAAAGATAATTAGTTCATCTCTAAGAGTTACCGAAGTCCTAACAGTGTCAGCATTGCTAAAAAGTACAAGTCCCAAGTCTCCTCTGAGATCTAAGGCAAGCACATCATATCTGTGACCTCTGTAAAAGACAAATAATCTAAAATGATCAGATAAGTCAAATAGACATTTCTTTGTTTTATGAGCTCTCTCCCTCTTCTTTTCATTTCATTTAATGTATTTTGTTTTGTTTTTTCTTTTGAGACAAGGTCTTGCTAAATTGCTGGGTTGTCTGGGTTCTTCTTAGCTCAATCTCTCACAATGGTGGAATGGCACCTAGCTTCAAATAGATATGTCTCCAAAGATGAACACAAAGAACCTATGAAATGTGCAAAATCCTCACATAACTAATCATCAGAGAAATATATATGGAAACCACCTTAAAGAAGATCTTAAGCCCATTTGGATGGTTTCGTCAATAATAGGCGAAACATTGGCAACCAGTACTGACAGAAGTGTGGACAAATGTGAACAACTGTACACTGTTGTTGTAACTGTAAAATGGCAAAACTACCATAAAGGAGAACAATGTCCTTCTGAAATTTTTAAAATATATAGTTACCCTATAATCCAGGAACCCTATTTTTGAGTATATATCCACAAGGGTTGAAAGCAAAGACTACAAGAGATACTTGCACACTCACATTCAGTAACACCATTCACTACAGTCAAGATGAAGAAGACGCTAAAATGTCTATCAAAGGATGAATGGATGGATAAATATAATAGGTACTGATGACAAAATATCATTTAAACTCATAAAGAGAATAACCTCTGTCATATGCTATTGACAGTGAAATAAACCAATCACAAATTAGAACATACTGTGTGATTCCAGTTATATAACATATTTAAAGTAGTCAAATTTGTGGGACCTGGTGGTAAATGGCTGTAATCCCAGTATTCTTGGATGGTGATACAAGAGGATTTCAAATTCTAGCCCAGTCTGGGAAACTGTGTTTTAACAAAATCCTGCCTCCAAATGAAAAACCTCTAAGTTCAATCTCAAGTAATGTGTAAATAAACAAACAAACAAAAAAAGAAATAAACAAAAGGGCTGGAAATGCAGCTTTCTCACTGAGAAGTGCCTGGGTTGAATCACCAATACCTCAAAGGAAAGAAAAAAAAAGACAGTCAAATATATAAAATTAGAAGAAGCATGGTGAGTACCAAGGGCAGTGGATAAGTGGCTAAGAAAAACTCTTGCTTAATAAATACAAATTTTTAGCAGTATATGATGAAAACTTTCTGAAATTCTCTTTAACACTAATTAAAAACAAAATACAGAGTTGTAGGCATAAGAAACATAAAAATAAAAAGGTTTGGCAAAGTGGCTCTGTGGTAGAGTGTCCCTGGGTATAATGCCATTATCAAAGGGGAAAAATGGTTAAAATCAGAGAGATTCTGATATGCATTTTTTGTAAAGTTTATATATATTTTTGTTACTCAGCACAAGGAAGAAAAAGGAATCAGGTATGCATGTGCCTTCTCTTATTACACTAGCAAGAACATATTTGTTTGTATCAAAATCATCAAAAGGTAGATGTCTTTGTTTCAATTTTCAGAATGAGAAAGTACAGAACAAAGTATTAAACATTTTGCCCAGAGGTAACACATCAGTGATGTGTTTACATTATAGGATTTACACATCAGGATTTACATTTTTATGTCTGCATTCATAAACTGCACTCGATACAATGTGACATTCTTTTAAAAGAGTGTGTAGAACCTGGTATCTCTGTATCTGAAACTTCTGACTTTGGGGGTGCTCTGACTGATAATTCTGATACATCAACTACACTGGATTATGAAACACCTTGTAGGATAGCAGAGCAATATCCTGGGTGTGTCTTGGTGGATCACAGAAGTATAACCTCTGTAGGATTAGATAAGATCCCTCTCTCATTCCTGTCTAGCATTGTTTCTCTACTGTATTATTTGCTGCCACAAACTAAGTAGCTTTACTTTATCACACACTTGTGCCATGACTTTGCTGCCTTGGAATTTCTTGGTCATGTAGTGAATTCACCATAACTGTGAGTTTAGTTAAGTTCTTCTTTAAATTGTGAGTGTTGGTTACCGTGTCTTAACAACAGGAAAGCTAATATAGCTTCTCATTATATAAAATATTTACTATTCACTTCATGCTTATAATTTCCATTGCACTTGATATTTTATGAAAATTTTACAATCTTTATTGGTTCTTACAAATAAATGGTGTCAAAGCTTACCTTTGACAAAGATGTGTTTTACATTTGATATCATATGATACCTTTAATAATATATATAAACCTAATTTTTCTCATTCATTATCATCATAATCATATAAGTCATTTAAGCTTATAAATTTCTATGACTTGTGATTTTCTACTTTGTTTCATGAATGTTTCAATATAAAAAAGACAGTCATGATTTTGTTGGTATAAAATGATCATTCAATTAACATATCCAGGGCCTACTTATAAGTGGAGTAACACATTAGAAACAATGACTTGCATATCCAGCTGATTGACCTATTTTTATAGACATTACATTTTAGTTCAAAACTGACATATGAAAAATTAGACAATGTTTTGAAGAAAAATAGAGCAGTATAAAGACTGAAAAAGATGCCATTTAAACAATAGCAAGATGATGTCTATTAAAGTAGCTAAGAGGTTTACTTCCACATTTTTTCAGAAGTTACCAGTTACTAGTTTGACAAAGGTTAAGCATATATAATGTTACTTCTGCAGATATGTGAGATGGCTGTACTCCACATAAAATATTGATAGTCATTTCCCCATAAGACACTTCATATGACACCAATAGATTAAATTTGGAAATATGAAATGAAGACTACAAAATACACAAAGAAATGAATAATGCTCAAGTTCCTGACTATTGTGTCTTATTTGGTGTAGAACTGTTAAAAGATACACTAACTGACTTTTTAATCTTCTGGCAATTAGAAGTAGAGAAATTTTCCTACTAAGCAGCAATTAGACAGTGATAATTGACATGTGTCAACCTAAAACCAATAAATACAAATAAAGGATAAAACACAAAATGATGTCAGGCTAGATTTGGATAATTAAGAATAAAATAATAAAACTATTTTAATAATTCCTGAAACTATTGATAATATTATGAATAGTAACAAGAATAGTTGAGTCGGAAATAACATATTTAGCAGCGGTACATGCACACTGTTCAGGAAACAGAAGAACATGATGGATATGTTAGAAATATTTTTAAAATATTGCTTCAAATTAACCTAAACTTTGTTTTCCATGAATAAGTCTAGAAACCTGGATACCTCACTTTGAGAAATAACCTGTTTTCTAGATTACATAGATAACTGTCAAAATAAATTTTCTGAAAAATATTTGATTGAAAATTCAAATCAAAGATGTTATCATGCCTTAACTTTTTAAAATTTTGTGGCTGCGTCATCAAAATTTCAAAATAATAAGATCTCAAATCTGATTTTCAATTTTATTTTAAAGTACTTTCAGGACCTTTATCTATTTTCAGTTCAGCTACATAGTTTGGGAAGAGAATGAGCTAAATTTTCATGAAGAAACTATTTTAAAATATATTTAATCTAAGTGCTGTAATGAACAGATCAACTTAGTTGAATCAAAGTTGTGCTAATATGAAAATAAATACATAAGTAAAAGAAATGAATTACTCTGTGAGGTCTTCTATCTTTTTTTCCACTAAAGTTGGTGGCACATTAGAAACAATGACTTGCATATCCAGCTGATTGACCACAGAGACCTAAAAAAAAGAAAAAACATATTTTTTATTAACTAACACTTTTATTATTTTTCTCTACTATACATAGAACCAGTGACTTTTTATTTCTAAACTCAGGAATAAATGATTTTTTAAAAATTATATCTTCTCCACTCATTCAAGACAAACTGAGTCTTGAAATATGATAGTTAATTTGAAAATGATAGTTAATTTGTTGTTTACCTAGAAATTAAAAATGACAAGCAATTCAACTCATTGTTTTGTATATATATATGTGTGTACATTTTGGTTTTTTTGCAGTTGTTATGTCATGAGACCTTAGAGAGAAATATTTTTATTTTTTAAATTTGGTAGATAAGGAACACTCAAAAAAGGAGAAAATATATATTTTATTTTATTTATTTATTTTATTGTACTGAAGATTGAACTCAGGACCTCATGCTTGCCACACAAGTGCTCATGCCAGTAAGCTAAATCCCTGGCCCAAAAAAATATATTTTAGAATTTACAAATCTTAAAAGAAACCTTAGGCATCAATATGGAGTTACTCAGAGAAATTCAACTAAAAACACAGGTAATTGGAGGAAAGGTCCTATATCTTGATGCCAAAATCAATCCAAAATAATACACTTACTGATCAAACAAAACACAAACGTAAAATTTTACAAAATGGTGGCATATTCCACAAGGATCCCTGAATAACCACCATTCTAGGAATTTCTCAAAATACTGATGGACTGTAATGGTATGGCTAACCCAAGCCACACAGAAGAGTTTCAGTCAGAAGGCCTTTCTCCACTCCTGGCTTCCTCCAAACAAGACATTATAGCCTGGCAGCAAATTTCACTGGCATGCACAGGGGCAAATTACCAGAAAGTTGCTCTCTCTTTGATAAGTTGCCATTTTATTTATTTATATTATTATTATTGTTGTTATTGTTATTGTTATTGTTATTATTGTCATGGGCCAAGGCATCTAATTTGAATGTCTAACAACAAGAAGGGTAGGGTCCTCAGTGATGGCAGGAAGGTAGTGAGTAGAACAGCCCATACCTGCCCTATTAGCAGCAGCATGAATGAGGAACAGGACATGAAATTTACACAGCTTTGGGTCATGGTGGGGCCATGTCTGGAAACTTAGCACTCACCCCACCCTGCTCCCAACAAAGTGACAGAGAAGGGAAAAGTGGGATCCAAGCAACTTGAGTCTGCCAGCAGCACTTCCCTTGCCCTGCCCTGCTCCCAGAGGCATGTAATGAAGAGACATGTGTCAGTGCAGTGGAACAGAGGAGGCTGTGCAAGGGCCAGATGGGTCCAGCTAAACACAGGACTAGAAGCAACCTTGGGCTGCCTGTCTGGCAGTGTCCTAGCAACTGAGAGAGTTATACAGAGGCAAACAAATAACTAGATGGGCAGGCCAATGAGGGACACCAGAAAATTGCTAGCTGAAGACTTGATCCATCTCTCATAACCAAAGGCCAAGATCTAACTCCACCAAGGACTGATCCCATTGCAGATTTGGAGCCGTTACGTAGCACAGATTTGGGCTCTGATATGGACACCACCACAGAGTAAGAAACACCAAAGGAATTTGTGACTTTGTTCATTTGTTTGCTTTTATTTTGTCTAATTTTTTGTTGTTGGTTTTTTTTTTTTTTTTTTTTTTGTCTTTTTCCTTTTTTTATCGGTACCAGGGATCGAACTCACGACTGCCTGCTTGCACAGCAGGTGCTTATGCCGCTGAGCTAAATCCCCAGCCCAGTTGTTCAGGTTTTTACTTTTGCTGTTTGTTTTGTTGTTGTTCCTTTTCTTTTCTTTCCTCAACTGTCTTTATTGACTTTTTTGTTTTTGCTATTTTCATGTGAGTAAACACTGTGTCTAGTTTTTCTGGTTCACTCAATATTCTTTTGCTTTCTCCTTCATTCTTCCTTTCTTGTCCTTTTCTGCAGTTTTCCAAAGCTTCTGTGATCAGCCTTTGTACCTCAGCTTTGCTTCTATAACATTTCTCTTTACTTACCTCTGTATTTTTCCTTATCCCTCTTAAATTTCACCTCCACAGGGTAAAGTCATTCTAATAAGGTGAAACTTACCGCACCCTAGTTGCTGGTTTATGTTGGATTATTTGTATAACATTATATCTTGCTTCTATGATTAAAGGTACCAAACTAATAGTTACCACAATTTGTCAGTTTCTAAACTCTGCTCAATGTTATTGTTACTGCAAATTTTATTACTTTAGCCAGGTATCAGATATTTTGTAATCAGCTATTCTTCCTTGTGTGACAACACTTTGACAATCTGGGGTCATAATCATCATGGTAGTCCAGTATCAAAGCACTGAGTGCTGGGTCAAATAGTGCCTTTCATCACTAAAGGTGGAATTTTGGGGTAGACACAAAGACAAAGAGCAAGGTTTGAGGTACCTCTGAGGAATAGACATTTCCTAGGGAAGCCTCAAAATCAGTGATAAAGGTATCTACCATAAGAAATTTACAAGTGTCAATACAGAATACAAATTAAAATAAACATATATAAAATTACAAAATGCAGAAACCAAATGCAATCCAAGCAATCCAGCCCACCCAGAACAAGTCCAAGGGAAGAAAATCAAAAGCCACCAACCTAAATTTTCTGAAATGGTAGCAACAGAAGAAAAAACAAGACAGAAAGATGAGAGTTTAGAGAAAATCAGATTAGAAATATCTCAGGTCAAAGAGAGATGACAATCATAATAAAGGAGTTGCTCAATGAATCTAGGGTAGACACATTTGAAAACATACACAAGCTTAGAAAAATGATGGAAACCTTACACCGACTTAGGAAAGAAATAAAATTAATGAAAAAGATTCAAACAGATAGTCAGTAGATTAAAATTTCAACTGAAAGTTTATGAAGCTGAATGAGGATATTATATTAGATCTAGAACACAGGATGGTCATTGATCATGGAAGATTTTTTAAAAATAACAAGGGACCGTGAAATAAACAATCCAATGGCAGCAAGATAATGCAAAGAAAAACATAAGGTTGATCAGACTCAGTGAAAAAAACAGGAGACAATACAAATGAATGTTCACAAAAGTAATGGCAGAAAACTTCCAAAGAATGGAAAAAAGAATTTGACATACAGGTTAGCTAGGCATGTAAAACTCTAATGAGCCATGACCAAAATAAATCTACATAAGGAATATAATAATCACATCCCATAAATTCAACAAAAGAACAGACTATTAAAAGCTGTTGGATAAAAGAAGCAAGTCACCTATAAAGGAAAGCCCATAAGAATCACAGCGGACTTCTCAACACAAACTCTTACATCAAAATGAGCTTGGAGTGAAGTATTTCCAGTACTGAAAGATTGTTGGGAGTTGTTGAAAATGGAAACTGAACACACATGCAGGGCTGCGGCATGGCTGAGAGACAAAGAAGATCACTATATACTTAAAGGAAAATTTCAAGAAGAGCTAACAATCATGAATATATATGTACCAAATATTGACATATATGACTATATAAAACAAAGGGACAAGAAAAATCAAGCAAGTGATAATACAAAACATAATGGGATACTTCAACACCTGAATAAATTCTGTGAAAAACATGGACTTGGTAGATAATGACAGACTGTTCTACTTCAGTACATCAAAGTACACATTCTTTCCAAGTGTGCACAGGACATTCTCAATAAAAGACTCATAGAACACACTTATGTAAATGTAAAGGAATTGAAAATTATACCATGCATGTTATCAGAGCATAGTGCAATGAAATTGGGACTCAACTGAAAAAAAAATTCAAAAAATACATAAATACCTGAAAATTAAATAACAATCTCTTAAACAACCAGTGGATCACAGATGAAATTAAAGAAGAAATTATATAGTTTCTACAATTAAATGATAATGCTGATACAACATGCCAGAACTTACAAGATACAATGTAAGTTGAGTCTTACAAGAAAAACTTATATAGCTGAATTCTTGTATCAGGAAAACAGAGTGAGCTCAAATAAACAACTTAATGTTGAAACTCAAAGTTCTAGAAAAAGAGCTAATCAAGCCCAAAGCTTGATGGGAACTTAAAGATCAGAGCAGAAATTAACACAACTGAGACTAAGAATACAATATAAAGATTTTATGAATTAAGACGTTGATTATTTAAAAGATTCAATAACACTGACAAATACATAGCCAACATGATCAAAAAAACAAAGACTCAAATCCATGCAATTAGAATGAAAATGGTGAAATCACAACAGTTCTTACAGAACACAGAAGATCATCAGTACCTACCTTGGAACTTACGTTCAAATAAAATAGAAAGTACAGAAGAAACAGACAGATTCCTAGATATATACATACATATGAATTACCAAAGCTGAATCTGAAAGACATAAAAATTCTAAATCTAAAATTTTAGTCCATTAAACTGAACATGTAATAAAATAAACCTACAAAACCCAAAAAAGAATGCATATCCTGATAGATTTGCCATTGAATTCTACAATAAATTTATAGAAAATCTAATGGCACTACTCCTTAAATTCTTTGATAAAACTGAAAAGTATGCAACACTCCCAAACTCACTCCTGGAAGCAAATACTATCCTGATATCAAAGCCAAAGAAGGATCTAACCAAAAAGAACCACAGACCAATCTCCCTAATGAACACAGATACAAAAGTCCTCAATGAGATACTAGCAAACAGAATGCAATGAATCATAAATAAAATTATATACCATAACAAGGAGGATTCATTCTAGGGATACAGGGATGGTTCAACATACACAAATCAATAAATGTGATAGACTATATTAACAGAGCCAAAGATAAAAATGATCATCACAATAGAGCCATAAAATGTATTTGGTGTGGTCTAACATTCGTTCTTGCTGAAAACCTTAGAAAAAATTGGAATATGTTTTATTTCTCAGTGTGATAAAATCTACCTATGACAAAACAACAGCAACATCATACTGATGGTCAAAAACTGAGAGCTTTTACTCTAAATCAGGAACATGACA